AGAATATAATTCATAAACTGAGAAGTTATATATTCTTTTGGTTGTAATCAGTTTAATATGAGGCGTGCTGCAACAAAACCAGACAAAGTGAACATGCGTGAATTAAAATTACACAAATTTTACTGCGCGATGTATCATACAACTAAGATCATCTGATCTGCATGTAATCTGAATTCAATATGTACTTTTTTTGATTTGATATCGAAAACTTATTTTTTTTTACGTTTCGTTATAGAGAGTATTAACCATGATAAAACAAATAAAATAATTGGAGTAATAAAACCTAAAGCGTAAACTTGATAAGAATTTAAATTTACTTTCTGGTCTCTTCTCTTTTCTTGGTTTTTCATCACTTCGAACTTTTCTTTATTATTACAATGATGAATTATTTGTTTAAGTTTAGAATTATTTGCAATATTTTCAGGATTATTATCAATAATAAGGTCGGCTGATTTTTTAGTTGGTAAAATAAATTTTATATGATCCGCTCTTGCTAACCAAATCCATCTATCCATAAGATCAAATAAAAAATTTAATCTTTCTTCATGATTAAGATTCTGTCTTATTCCTTTTGATATTCGTTTTAATTTTCTCATTAATCTAATATCATCATCAGCAGAAACATAAATTTTTAAATCTGCTAGTTTATTAATACTTTCAAATTGTAAAGCATGAACTCCTTCAACTATTATTATATCTGCAGGATCTTTCGTTTCACCATTTTCGTGAAAAATTAACTCAGTATTTACACTATTTTTTACTACTTTTTCAAGTCTAGGATAAACAATCCTCTCTCGTTTTAAAAGGCTAATTAATATATTCTTTAATTTCGCATCATGAATACTTTTTGGATTATCTCAGTCAATAGGAGCTTTACTTGTTTTATAAAAATGATCCGTAGTTAAAATAATACTGCTTAAATTTTTTTTAATTTCTTTAGAAATAAACTCAGCTATAGAAGATTTTCCAGCAGCAGTTCCCCCACCAATTAATATTAACGTTGGTTTATTCATAACTTATTCATATACATTTATTTTATTTGCATTGGTTTTGGACATGTAATATCTTTATATTCATCTTTAACAAATGGACGAATATTTTGATAAAGATAATCTTGCCGCTCATATTTCATAGAAGGAGGTACAAAAACCGAAAATGTTAGGGCCTTAATTTTTTTAAAATTTTATTAGCTGTAAATTTATTAATCTTTAGTAATTTGAATTCCTGAAAAGTACCATTAGCAATTTCTTGTGCTTTGATTATACTAGGATTAGCATTAGTAAAAATAAAGTGCTGAAACTTTTGGAGACCAGGTAATTTTTTAAAATAAGTTTTCAGGCCATTTATTATGTCAAAATATTGAAAGCCATTTCTGTCATTGTAACGCTGTGCTTTATTTAGTCCAGCAATTCTAGACCTTTTTACCACATCTACAATATGATTTACACAATCAACTGTAGTTTTACAATAAAGCTTTTTTATTAACCCAAAATTACCATCACATTTGAACTTGGTATGACCTGGAATCATAAAGTTGAGTTCGATACTTTCATAATACCCAAAAATTACTAAATATAGGTAAAATCAAATAGTCGTATTATTTTTATTTTGTCCACCTGCATTGTCACAGGTAATTTTCAAGTGCTTTTCACCTTTATTCAATAGTTTAATTCCATCAAAGACTATGCTAAGTGTACTATTTGGACCTTTTTCAAGAAGTTCATTCTCATCAAGAACATAATTGATTTGCTCACGCACTGCTTCATCTTGGATGCCAAATAAATGCACTTTGCGAGCACTAAGATAAAATACTTTACCGATCTGTTGATCTGAGTGAGGCACATGAACATTTTGAGCTCAATCGTAACTGTAATGGGCAATGGCGTCAATGCTGCAGTATGATACTTTCGCTAAGGAGAAAGAATAATTCTGTTCTATAAGTTTTCTAGATTCTTCAGCCAACTTTGTATTTTTGTTATAATAGTTTCGCTCTAATTTGGCTTTGGCTAGATGTTCTTTATATCTCTTTAATAAATCTTGGGTCTCTTTATCTTTATGAGCTTTGAATTGCAAGTTATTTCGCAAATACTGATAAGTATCACATAAGTCTGTTCGGGGATTCATAATTTGAATGTATGGAGTTAGCTGATGCCATAGTTTGCAGAAGGAATCATATTTGAGGGCACGCAAATTACTGTCATCTTCTAGACTGGCTAAAAAGTCACGGTGAACAGACTTGTAACTCATTTCTGCCGGTAAAAAGATAATTGATTGGGTTACATGATTAATATTTCTGACTGGACTAGGTACTTCTGCATAACTCAAAAGAAAATTCTTCACAGTGGTAACCACATCCTTGTCAATAATCATCTTGGTCTTTCACTTGGGCATTCTTTTTATATTACCATGTATTCGTAAAAGAATGCCATTTTTTACCAAATGTTCTCTAATATTTTCAAAGTAATTGCGGCCAATACCAAGCATATTAAGGTATGTTTTTTGACAAATAGGTGTATTATGATTTTAGCAATAGAAAGTCCTTTTATTGACACGTGATTTCTTTTTTAAGTGTCGACTATTATTGATTGCTCCCCCATCCATGGATCTGAGTTGGGCCATTAAGAAAATGTCTTGTTCAGGCTTTGTTAAAGCTTGAAAATTTTCTCGCAATTCAGCAAATTCTTCTTTTGGAATTTTATTTGAACAACTACAATTACAACCATTCTTTAAAAAATTTATTGCTTTCTCATATTCAGTATAATTATTCATACATATATTTTATATCACTTTGTATGGTTTTTTAAAATTTTTGCAAGTAAAAGAAATATCAAAAACTAGAAATATCAAATTCAAGGATTAAAAGGCTAGAAATTATTAATATGAAATTAAGAACAGTGGCTTTCAAAGTAAATCATTGCTTCATCGCTGACAATTACAGCTGAAATCCAAATGTTTCTCTTGTATTTCTTGTATTTGAGTCAAAAAAAAAAAAATATTTTGATGAGTATATGGTAATCCACTAAATAATATAAAGTAATTACGTAGTCTAAGATTGTTATAATAATCTTCTCTGTTATACTGCAACGTACGTTTGCATCATTGCATGTGATAATCCACCCAAGAATGACGTCATTTATGAATTTCAAATGCGCAGTAAAAAATTTCATGATTATAAATTGCTTATAAATTGCCGATTCTTTCTACATTTGTTGCAGCACGCCTCATATTAAACTGATTACAACCAAAAGAATATATAACTTCTCAGTTTATGAATTATATTCT